GGGTAGTTGACTAATGACGTGTCCCCGCGGAGGGAAGACGTGGAGAACGCGTCGAAGACGTGTTGTTTTGCCCGACGGGAGGAGTGTGCCTGACCGGCGTGTCTAGAACTGTGCCCGACATTGGGGTTTTGGGCCTTCTCCAAATAGTATTGGACTGGGCCTGCCCGACGGGTGGGCTAGTCTGGGCCTAGTCCAAAAAAGTATCTATTCAGGATAGTTCCATTTATATTTTTTTTTTTATTTAAAATTCAAACATAATAATTATCCAATTATATAAAACAACTATTATTATTCATTTAAAATTTTCTTTATGAGGTATTTAAAAAAATGTTTTTTTCTTTAAATTTCAAAATTCTTATTCTTAATATTTCTATATTTCTTATTATTTCATAAAATATTTGCAAAATTAAGCACATGATTTTGTTAAGGATTTTACTATTATTTTCAAAATTTGATAAATAAAACAATTAATATTTTTTACTAATCATTTTTTTTAAACGAAAAATTATTTAATTGAGGAGGGTAGATAATTCAACCCCAACAATAAAGAAGAAGATGAATTAGGTTAATCCAAAGTAGACCTACAAGGCGAAGGAACCTAATATTGTAACATGGACTATATATTAAGAGAGTAACTTGCCTTTGGGTGTTTGGGATACCTTGTCACGTTTGAGATTTTGATTTCTTTCAATTTATCTCAAAATTGTTTGGCACCTTATTATATTAGAATGATGATACACGCGACCAAATTAAGATGGATGTAGCGAGGTTCTTGATTATAACAAGATGTTCTGCCGTGATTAACAAATTTTTTAATGGCAAAATTAATGGCTCTTTGTTCAGACTTATACTTGGGGATTTAAAAATGTATATAAAAATATAGAATGATTCAAGTAGATCTATTTCAATGACCTTTTCATATCATTTGCAGGAAGATAATTTTTCTCACATATTGTGTTGAAATTCTTTAAAATCTCAAGTAAGTTTTATACAATTTATTGCTGAAGTCAAAATAAACATGTGAATAAATTTGGGTAAGTTTTATACAATTTATTGCTGAAGTCAAAACAGACATGTGAATAAATTTGGGTAAATTTTGCAACAGAACTTTGTTACTTTAGAGAATTAACAACAATAAAAGTTCTAATAGAGTGATTTTCAGATAAAATACAGAGTTAGATTTACTAGCCATTGGCTAATTTTAATAATCAAAAATATAAAAATAAATATTTAGAACGATAATCCCCAATTTTTATTAAAAAAAATTGAAAATTAATAAGATAAAAAATAAAACACTAATTTTTAAATAAAAAATCAACCTATTGTTAAAAATATGAAAATGAATATTTCGTATCACTATAAATTGTTACTAAAAATATATTTCCCAACAAAAAATGATGATGATTTGAAATGATGACGGACGAGAAGTCTGACCACATGTCTGCGAATGATGATATGATGACACACGATTTCAATTTGGGTTCAGAAGCGTTGCTAGACATTATCTGCAATGTCGTATCCGTGTTACCTAGGGAGTATGATAGGGTGACGGAGTTGGAAGACCTAGAAGATGAGGTCGAACTAGAGATGGCCAGTCAAAGGCCATTATGTTATTATATCTTGAATAACGGTTGTGTCGAAGAGTAGAATGTGTTCTTCATAAGACTCGACGAAGCCATGAAAAACCACCTAAAGCCTCTATTTATTAGAGTAAAAACTAGAGAACCTTGGTATCAACAAGATACTAGTAGACGGAGGAGCAACAGTAAACACAATGTCGCATTATATGTTAAAAAAGATTGGAAAAAGTGACTCCGATACAAAGCCCCATAATATGGTCCTCTCAAATTACGAAGGAAAGGTGGACACAACCATGGGAGTCATTCAAGTAGATTTGACCGTTGGCACAATTACCAGTCCAACGATGTTCATGGTAATTGTATCTAAGGTGAATTACAACCTACTCCTTGGGAGGGAGTGGATACATGGGGTCAGTGTAGTGCCATCATCACTTCACCAAAGAATAACCACCTGGAGAAGTGATGGAATTGTCGAAAATATTGAGGCCGACCAAAACTATTATATGGCTGAGGTTGACTAAATAAGTGGGCGACACTTTGATAAAAACGTAGCCCACATAACGCCTTGTAACCCAACAGGTTTCGATTTTACACCTACAAATAACGCCTTCTGCTCGTTGTATTTGCATCCGACCCACGGATTTCAATGGGACAAGGAGGTGATAGGCAAAGAAGACTTCGTCTTTGGAACAGATGGAATCCAACATACGGGTTGCGATAGTGAATTCAGTGACTATGACTAAATCACAAGCACTGAGAAAGCTTTCGGTTTATATAGCTGAAAATAGATTAAAAGCGACCTTAGAGGCTGGAATAAAATACATGGTTGTGGAGCCATATACAGTGAAAATTGTTAAACAACTGTTGGTCTTCCAAAATTTAGTTTACGTGCAGGATAAAGTGAATCCTGGAAATATGGCTATTGTATTAATGTATTTCTGAAAAAGTGATGTGCAGGATAAAGTGAATCCTGGGGATATGACTATTGTATTAATGTATTTCTGGAAAAGTGATGAAAAGATTGTTTAGTGTAAAAGATTGTTTTGATTGTTTGTTGAAAAGATTAAACTTTGTAAAATTCTATAAAAAAAATGCATTGAAGAAAAGAAATTCAAAGTAAACGAAATATAGTAAGTAAACGAAATATAGTAATAGCAATTGGTAAAAGAAATAAAAATTCTTATTGAATAAAGTATGGTGTTTCAACGTACATTTCTCAACAGTAACTTTTTTCTCACGCTAACTTGGATAATTTGAGTAAATTTTGAGTATAGTACAACAATTGAACATACGAAAATCCTAATACTAAAACTCCTATTTATAATACGTCGAAATAACTGTCTTCAACGTGCATTTCTCCAAAAGTTGACACGTTTCGCCACGCATGCCTTCGTTTCACCATAGTTCTCCATGTGTCTCTCCTAAAAAAACGGATAAGGACAAAAGACAGTAATCTATCCATAATTTGAAATTCAAACTTCTGCCGAAACAAGTCTCCAAATCATCCCTTAGTCGAAATAACCTTTTATACTTAGAAAATATTTCTAAGTTTTTGTTCAAGCACATCCTCTTATGAGAGCCACTTTGACAAAACTTTCACATTAACTTTTGTCGAAGTACACAAAATTTAAGAAACTTTATTTTTCACTTATTTTCTCAAATGGGAACAAGGCGTCGAAATTCCCAACCAATACACCCACCATTTATTTCCACACTCCAGTTTTCTTGTCTTGGGCGTGAGGGTGTGTGTTAAGAGTCTCACATGGAATAATATATAACCTGAACATGTGTTTATAAGCAATGACATTCCTCACTCTACCAACCAATTTTGTCGGATTGAGTTAGATCCAACCACGTTTCTTGGAGATTAAACCGCAGTTTTCTACAAAAGGCTCCAACTCCAAGCATAAACAAATAGTCTAGGCAGTCTGTCTATAAATACACGCCAACCAAAAACATGAAATTTAGAGTAAACTTTCGAACTCCACAATCTCTGCAGCTGCGACAAAACCTCCGAATTGCACCTGTTAACAACTTGATCCTTCAGCAGCCCCCTGTAGCAATTAACAGAAAACCTACATGTTGTCTCACCCTTCCAAACGAACCTGTCCTCCACTGATATGCACAACGTAACCGAAGACAGAGCTTACTGACAGAACTGTAGTTGGGACGCGCTTTGCAGCTCTGATACGAGGAGACCAATTTCTACACCACACATCTTCGACCCAATTACCAAAATGACTCACAGCAATGAAACTTTCAGCATGATTCGAAAAGACCTCCAGAAAAAAGACATCAGGGCTGAACTCCACACCAGGTATTCCTCAAAAAATCCAAATTATTACTATCACCCACTTTGCATTGAGTATTCTTCACAAACCAATCCACCGACTCAGCAACTTTGCCTCCATACCATTTCCCGTTCGTTAAATAGAGGCCCTTTTCAATATCTTAGCAGGACTGTGAAAAAGAACTTCTTTTGACAAATTATCCTACCTAAACTCCGTTCGTTGAGGAATCTCCATTTCCATTTTGCCTGAAACATAAAACTCATTAGACATGCCTTCAAAAATTCCCACCCCTTTTTGGAAAATTATAACCAAAAACCGTCTGGACCCGACGCTTTTTCTCCACCGCAATCCCATATAACATCTTTCAACTCTTCAATTATGAAGGGCTTCTCCAATAATCCATTATCTTCAATAGACAATTCTTTGAAATCGATACCATTTAACACTTGCCGGTTAAAGAAAACTTCTTTGCTACTCTCTTTTCAAAGTAACTCTTGATACAATCTTTAACCTCAGTTGCACCCTTCCCCCCTCCCATCTTCTGGAATCTAACAACAATTTATCGCTTCTAAGTTGGATAAAACCTTGTGGCTCGGGTAAACATTATACATTTTAATGTTTTAAGAAATAATAAGGATCCTAAAATTGTTTCCTTCCAGACTTTCTGACGTAATATTTGATGTTCAAACATATTATAATAGACCAATTCTTCAACAAAAACAATCCCCAATTAAAATATTTGAATTCATTTCCCACAAAGCGCAATGAAAAAACAGAATAAATAGTTTTTCCAGTATTATCACCAACAATTACTCTCCATAATTCTTGTAAAAAAATCATCCTATGAAAACAAAAGTTCTTGAAAATTATGCAGAAAAAATAATGCAAACCAAAGTTCTTGAAATTTATGCAGAAACAAATTCAATACATGCATATATACAAGTGTACATTTTTTGTCCATAAACCGCGATAAAAAACATACTAGATGGTGATCGTTCTATAATTACCAACTAATATTTGAAAATAAACACTCTTGAAAATATGCACAAAGAGAAATACAAATTACACACAACTTAGATAATGAAAAAAGAAAATAAAATATAAAGATGATTAATAGAGTACATGTTCTTCAAACTCCGAAACCGTATAGAGTTTTTCCTTGTCTTTTAAGAGCATACACAACATCCATTGCTGTGACAGTCTTTCTCCTTGCGTGTTCGGTATATGCAACAGCATCCTGAATGATTTTTTCTAAGAACAATCTCAGAACTCCTCTACTTTCTTCATAGATCAAACCGCTTATCCTCTTGACACCTCCTCTTCTTGCCAATCTACGAATAGCTGGCTTTGTAATTCCGCGAATGTTGTCGCGGAGAACATGTCTATGTCTGAATGCTCCTCCCTTTCCAAGTCCCTTTATGCCCTTTCCACGACCGGCCATTTTTGCAAGAATATTTGATGAATTCTGAATGTGGAAAGGTAGAAGGAGATTAAAGTATTTATCTATAATTCCAAGCGGGAAATGAAGTAACCGTTCAAGCTCTATGGTTTGATTTAAATTAACAAACGGTTTAGATTGCATTTGTTTTAAATTTTAAAAACTATTTTATAATTTAATTTTAAAATAATATGTTTTTAAAATAAATAAAATATTTATTAACCGTATTTTTAATAATCATATTTTCAAGCGGGAAATGATGTTGTGTCTGTATCATATGATTGGGATTGGCAAAGCTGTTGGTTGTAGGTCTTGGTTGGGTTTTATTCCCAATTTCTGTTCTTCCTCTGTATCTTCATTTGTTGTTGGTTGTTATTTGTTAATGAATAACTTTCGTTTAAAAAAAAACACTACAACAGTTCATATCAAATTTATTACTATTAAAATAAAATCATTTATTTATTAACTTTAATTGCAATTTAAATTGAAAATTTACTATTACAAATAATATATTTTATGATAAAGTTTTCACTTTACCAAACTAAAAACTGAGGTATAATATTAATGGGCGTTATGTTTTATATTTTTTAATAAATACCATATATTTTTTTGGTTTTTGAATATAATCGAGGGAGAAAATAATTTAGGACATGTTTCGAATAGTAACAAAAATCTTCTACTAGAGTGCAAGGCTCCTGAGTTATGTTGAAAGATGACTGTTAATCCAGAGTGTGTTGTTTGCTATAACTTTCTACTGGTTGCAAGTGTTCCCTTTGCCTAAGAAATTTATTAATTACATTGAAGCTTTATGTAAAATTTTCATGTGGAGTGGAAAAGGGGAAAATAGAAAGAAAAAAAGGTTCATCTGGCTTGAGCAAAAATTTGTGATTCAAAAAATGCAGGGGGTTTAAACCACCATTGTCAAATTACTTTGGAATCTACAAGCTAAGGCAAACTATGGGTAAAATGGATAAATGTATACTACCTCAAGAGTCGAGATATCATGACATGGCAGGCACCACAACAATGCTCATGGATGCTCAAAAGAATTATGAGTCAAACCCAATATTGGAAGGAGGTAACACAATATGCGGCTGGCCTTATTCACTTTGTGGCTACTCTTCATGGAAAGACTCCCAACTAAGACAGACTTACTCAATTTGGAGTCCCTAATGATGGCATCTGCACATTCTGCAGCGAAACATAATCGATAGTTTTGTTCATTTTGTGTGAATCAGGTATTATGTTATGTCAATTTGTGGGGTCCTTGCGAAGCTAGTTTTGTTCATTTTGTGTGACTCGGTTTGCCTGGGAAATTGTTGGTTTTAAGGTTGTGTCACGTGAGGTCCCTGCTGCGAGGAAATTGCTGAAAGTTTCTTGCAGAATTCATGAAAGGCTTAATGGCTCGTGTGGGTTACGAAGACGGGTCATAGGCGAATCATGTTATGTTTTTGTGCAGATTTGCTTGCGAAGAGGTACTGAAAGTTGTTGAAATGGTGCTTTGTGAAACCTTGTGGATAAAATGGTGCTTTGGCTTGGTTCAAGCCTAATTGATGTGGTGACCATGTGATGAAGATGGCCGTGTGATGGTATAGCCATGGCCCCCTTTTTTTTTTGCACTTATTATCAAATATGTAATGGACTTGGTAAATGGTGATAAGAAAAAAAATATGGGCTTAATGAGTGGGCCTTACTACACTTTGGCATTTTTTTAAATCATTTTGTATGGACCTTGAATTGAATTGGACTTATATCCTATTTGCACCTCCACGTTATTGGTCTTTGTAATTGAACTCATCACGAATCAATCTTTGAATTTGACTAAGTCTTGATTTAATTTAAGAAATGACTAAGAAGTGAATCAAACTTTGAATAAACGATTTCTTTGACTTAACCAAACACCAACTTTGAAACCACTTTTCAACATCTTGAACCAAATCAGAAAAGACTTGAAACTCTGAATCAATTCCTGATAAATAACACCAAAAAACAAATGAATCCATCCTGAAATGATCTTGGACTAAATTGCAAGCTTGAAATCTCCTTGAACTAATGACAAACACTTGAATCCCATGATCAGGATTTAAAACATTGAACAAAAGCCTTAACTCTTGAAAGCTCTGCAACTTGACTCCAATCAAATGACTTAACCTGGCACCTAACTGAATTCTGACAATTCTTAATCCTGACTCACACCGACAACTTAAATAGGTATAAACCCTAATTGAAAGCTCAGACCCACACCACTCGAATCAATCATATCCAAGCCTTGATCTTGAAACCAAACTTTTGTCTACCAAGATTAGGTCAAAACTACTTGAACTGAAAACCTCCCTGTACACACACCTGTCCTGATATCTTCAGATGAAATTGAGCTCAATAAGTGAATAAAGAAAGTAAAGGCAACACATTTTTTTGATTTTCTGAATAGGAACTAGTAGATGGAAGTACATATGAAAGATATGTAGGTAGGAAAATTTTAGGGTATGACAGTATATAATAGAGCGATACATGTAGATCTCTAAAGGATGTACACAGAATCATCACCTACCGAAAGCTTCAATTGTTGAAAGGTACATCACAAAAGAAGCTATTTAGTTTTGTACAAAATATTTATCTGAAGCAGAGTCTATAAGAATTCCAAAGTCCTAGATTGGTTTAATAAAAGGGTACTAAAAGATCATAGTGCATTCGAGACAATTAAATGGCTGTCGTTCATGCCAAAAATAAATGTGATAACTTGGACTGCATATGACATTGGTCATTATACCTTTTATACAAAATCAAAAGATGATTGTAGTACAATGTAAAATAGTGGGATTATAATTGATGCAGAACCCATGTATTTCTCTAGTTTAAAAGATAAGAATCCAATATTGGCATCTAGTGCGTTCTATGGTGTCATCTATGAAATTTGGGAGATTGATTATGTTATCTTTATAGTGCCTTTATTTAAATGCAAGTGGGTTCCCAATAATACTAATGGTGTACAAACTGATAACTTAGGATTCACCAGGGTTGACCTTGGTAAGGCAAATTATATGACTGAACCATTCATCATGGCTTCACAAGCAAAACAAGTTTTCTATGTGACCGACCCATCGGACATATCGGGGAAATGGTCAACCGTTCTCCGAGGAAAAGACATTCTTAGTAGTGATGAAAGTCATTATTTCTAAGTATATTTACTTAATGTAAGTCATTATTTCTAAGTATATTTACTAACAAGCATGATTATTTAAAATTGTAGGTGTTTAAAGTAAATACACCAAGAGACAAGACACCAAAAGACAAAGAAACAAAATACTATAAGATACAACTATGTGATGTTATATAACGTTTGTAGGTTGTTTTGTGCCATTTTTTATTTGATATAATACATATACAATATTTGGTTCTTAATACAATATATGAATTTAATTGATGTAATACAATACAGTATTTCATTATGATACAATTGTTGTTCCTGTTATGATATAGTTCAAAAAAATACAGTTTAAAAAATAGAAAACTTTCAAAATGCAGAAAAATTATTTAAAAAAAGAACATTATTTAACGACGGTTGTAGTATATAATTGTGGTTGTATAGTTAATGTTGTCCAGAATAATATATTACACCAAAAGATGCGCCGGTGAGAATCGAACTTGGGATCTTTATATATTACAACGGTTAGTTAGCGCAAGCGTGATCATATATAGCACGCTTTCAGGTTTTCTACAACGGCCATAAGAATGTGATTGTAAGTAGCGCATATACAACAACATCCTATGTGACAACGGCAGGTCACGCGTGATGTTATCCATTTTCCAACCGCTGCTGTATATGTTTTATGTAGTAGTGGAGGCAACTTTTACGGGTTTGTGATTGTTGATGACTACTCTAGATTCACTTAGACGTTATTTTTAACCTATAAGGATAAAACTTTTAAGGATTTCGTTGATTTTACTAAGCTTATCCAAATGTTTTTTGTTTAGAAATTATCACTCTCCATAGTGATCATGGTGGTGAATTTGTTAACCATCAATTTCAAAACTTTTGCATTGAAAATGGGATTGCTTATCATTTCTCATGTCCAAAAACTCCATAACAAAATGGTGTTGTTGAGTGTAAAATTGTGTTTCGAAAGAATTGGCCCAGACTATTATTAATGAAAAGCTCCTACCTAAGTACCTTAGAGCGGATGGGATTAATACCGCATGTCATGTCTTAAACTGGGTGATCATTCGACCCATCCTAGAGAAGACATCATATGAGTTATTAAAGGTAGAAAACCAAATATTTCTTATTTTACATTTTCGGTTGCAAATGTTTTATTTTATACAACGGAAATAATAATCTTGGTAAATTAGATGCTAAGTCCGATGAAGGGATATTTCTTCTCCAATTTCGTCATAATCTCCTATTTTCTCCGATTTGAACCGTTAAATCGATCAGTGATAAAATTGTCCTACAAAAAAATCCACACCATTCCTTCTTATTTAGACCTAAATTCCCTTTCCCTTTCCTTGATTCCATTTTCGTCTCGGAAGAAACAACGAGATTTGCTTCAATTCAATCGGTAACACTTCTTTTCCTTTTTCAATCTAATGTTTAATTTTTTTTGTTAATGTGATTTCACGAGTTTCGACCTCATTTTCAGCATAAATTTCATGCTTTTCTTCAATTCATGATTTTTAGGGTCAACTGGCACCTATTTTTCACTTGGCTTTCTGTTTGAGTTCACGACTTTGATTCTTTGAAAAGTTGTAGTAGAGTATAAAGTAGAATCGTCAGTCAAATTCACTAGTGTTTAATTGATTGATTTTATTTTCAATTATGTGTGGATCTTGATGATATGCTTATTTAAAACATGAATTGCTATGATATTTAGTAGATTGTTAATTTTCTCAAGTTAGTTTCATTGTTTATTTTGTAGCTTTTTAGCGTGTGTTTTGTTTTGCGGTGGAAAGAATTGATTTTAGCTAAAACTGAGTTGAAAGTGAAGTGATTTATTTTTGGATAA